TATTAGCAATGAAATTGACTAATGGCGAATTCCACTGGTCGTTTTGGAGCGCGCCGGGATCGACTTTTCTGGAGCGAGCCTATTTCACTGGGCGATCGGGATTGAGACCGACATGTTTCACTGGTCGTTTTGGATTAGCTCCCGCTCCAAATCTTGATCTGGATCCGATGGCGAATTCCACTGGGCGTTTTGGAGCGCGCCGGGATCAGTTGACCAGATCCGGAATGGAGCTCACAATCCAAACGGGGTCGCGCCGGCGATGGATCCCCATGTGGAACATGACCACTGCTCCGGGATCGGCATTTGCCTTCATGTCATTTGACTGCCGGGGAATCCCCTTTCCGCGGCCGCCGCGGTCGTTTTGAAGACGTTTTCGCAATCGCGGTGCTAACACGTGTTCAACAACAGTCGGGCAACATGTTGCTGCCGCCCGGCAACAGTGTTGCCCGATTTGTTGTCCGACAACCCTGTCACACCGTGCTGACGGCGAGGACAACACGGGGAACACTCCGCCATCTTGATTGTTTACCTTCGTTCGTGTGCGGCGCGGAATCGCTGGAAATGTGACTCTACAAAGCGCTAGTGCGTCCGAAGGGCCGGGAATTACCACGGTACGACATCAACCAGTGGCTGTAATTAGAAAACTTGACACCGGGAGTATTTTCCTCTCTTTATTTTATCAAGATGTTCTTCATTCGCTGAAAAAGCAGATAGCCCTAACCGAGGAAAGTGACATCGCTGATATATGTTCGGCATTTACGCCACCGTATGAAGTGTTTCTGTCCGGTTCTTTCATGCAATTCCTATTTCTACTGTGAAATTGCGTTAGCACCGGCAGTACCCCAAACCGTCTTTTGTAACGTGGTGTTGAGCTGAACTGACGGTGCTTCAAAACTGCGACACCGACACCCTCGGTCTTCATAACAATCGGTGGAATAAATAGTTTTCAACGCTGTCTACTTGTCTACCGCCTGCTATGTGATCGATTCATTCCCCCAAAACGTCCTGTCTTTTTTTTTTTTTTTTAACAAATCAGGTGTCTGGTAGCGGCTGATTCCAAGTTCCAAGCATCAACGTTTTCGAAATCGCGGCGCTAACACGTGTTCGACGCACGAGCGGCAGGAATGGCTCAGGGGCGTCTAGCAAAGATTGCCGGAATGCCCGTAGCGCGGCAAAACCTTCTCTTCTCTTCTCCTTCCTGGAAAACGAACTGGCTGTCGAGCCAAGGGGTAAGCAAGCGGCCATTACCATTTTTTCTGAGGCGAGATCAGGCGAGATGCCCGCGAGAAAGGAAGTCACGTGTGTGCGCCGAGGGCTGACCCGGCTGGCTTCCGGTTGAATCCGCCGAAATCGGGGGAGCGACTTTTCTCGGATCCAGATCGAGATCTGGAGCGGGAGCTAATCCAAAACGACCAGTGGAACAAGTTCGTCTCGATCCCGATCGCCCAGTGAAATAGGCTCGCTCCGGAAAAATCGATCCCGGCGCGCTCCAAAACGACCCGTGGAATTCGCCACGAGAAAAGTCGCTCCCACGGTTTCGGAGCCCTCGGCGCACACACGTGACTTCCTTTCTCGTGGGGCATCTCGCCTGATCGCGCCCATCTCGCCTCAGAAGAAGAAGAAGCACGTCACGGGCCAACACCACCTGGACAGAAGGCCTCCACACGCGTCATCATAGTCAGATCGACCGAGGCGAGAGATTGGGCACGAGTGCTGCGTCAGTGTTCGGCTGCGGCTCGTGGCCAATCAGCGCGTCGAAGGTCGGGCTCGGGTCCAATAGCCGACCGAGCGCGATCCGACTGTGATGACGTTTCATAGAGGAAGAGGAAACCATGCGGAAGCCTTCTGTCTAGGTAGTGTTGCACGGGCTGGGCTCCTAGATTGTCTCGACATCAGAAGAATTCCTAATGGCCGCTTGCTTACCCATTGGCTCGACAGCCGGTTCGTTTTCCAGGAAGGAGAAGAGAAGGTATTTGCCGCGCTACGGGCATTCCGGCAATCGTTGCTAGAAGCGCCTGAGCCATTCCTGACACTCGTGCGTCGAACACGTGTTAGCTCCGCGTAGCGAAAACGTCTTCGAAACGACCGCGGCGGCCGCGAAAAGGGGATTCCCGGGCAGTTGAATGACGGGAAGGCATCCGCCGATCCCGGAGCAGTGGTCATGTTCCACTGAGGATCCGTAAGCGGGGCGACCCCGTTCGGATCTTGTGCTCCAATCCGGATCTGGTCAACTGATCCCGGCGCGCTCCAAAACGCCCAGTGGAATTCGCCATAATACTGCCGCGACCATGACGAATTTGCTCCAAAATGAGCGGAAAGGGCGCCTCCATGTTTGTCGACGCAACCCGGCCCAAGCGATGGACCTTTTCCGAGAAGAGTTCTGCGCACGCGCGAGCGCCCGTTGCCAAGCGGCGGAAGTCGGCCCGAAAAAGCGAGGAAATTCGGAAGAAGGCTGGGGATCAGCGATTAGAACACGTATTTGCAGCATATATATAATTGTGTTACACAAAAAAAGAAAACTGACGGAAAGAAAAAACACGACGTCTAAGTGGACGCCACGGATGCTCCTCTTTAAAGTCGCGTTGGGCACGCGCCGCAGCTCAGAGGGCGAAGAAACCGGTAGCCTAGCTCCCATTAACGATTGGTAGCGCAGGTAGGTCCTTCCTCGATTTTTAGTTCATGCAGCCACCGCCTGGTGGCGTCGGTATGTGGAAAAGGTCCATTGGGGGCCCTACGCTATCTCTCGAATTCTCCTTTGGGGGCGAGCGCCAACCCAAAACGCCAAACGGAGTTTGTGTTCTGCGCACGAGCAGTTCTGAGCCCCTATTTCTTTGAAGCACCCAAGCTTTGCGGCGCCCTATTCTAAAACTTTATATATCAAGAAACAGAGTCCCGTTACGCTGAGCGTAGCTCATTTAGTGACTCTAGCTTCCACAATTATACCTCGGCAAACCTCACTCATGAGAGCCCTTACCCACCCTCACCCACCTCCTCTTCACATGTGAGGTGAAGGTGAGTGAGTTTCTGAACAAAGAAAATTCATGAGTGTGATGGTGAGTTCGGACCGTGAGGTCGTGAGGAACGTGAGGGCCGTTAGATCTGTAGTGGCTGTGAGGACCATGAGTGCGTGAGGGGTATGAGTGTGTGAGTACCGTGAGGGCGGTGAGAGCGTGAGGGGGTGATGGGCGTGAGGGGGGTGAGTGCGTGAGGGGCGGAGGGCCCTGAGTGTGTGAGGGACGTGAGGGCCATGAGTGCGTGAGGAACGTTAGGGCGGTTAGTGTATGAAGGGCGTGAGAGTGGTGAGCGCGTAAGGGGCGTGAGTGGCATGAGTTCGTGAGGGCCGTGAGGGCGGTGAGTGTGCGATGGTCGGAGGGCCATGAGTGCGTGAGGGGCGTGAGGGCCATGAGTGCGCGACGAACATTAGGGCGGTGAGTGTCTGAGGGGCGTGAGGGTGGTGAGTGCGTGAGGGCGGTGAGTGTGTGAGAGGCGTGAGGGTCGTGAGGGCCACGAGTGCGTTAGGGTCGTGGGGGTGGTGAGTGCATGAGGGGTGGAGGGAAATGAGTGCGTGAGGGGCGTGAGGGCCATGAGTGCGTAAGGGCCGAGAGCACGGTGAGTGCGTGAGGGCTATAAGCGCGATAGGGGCATGAGGGCAGTAAGGGGCGTGAGGGCCATGAGTGCGTGAGGGGCGTGAGGGTGAGTGAAGGGCTGAAGGTGAGTGTGACTATGAGGATGACGGTTAGTGAGGGGCTGAGGGTGAGTGTAGCTGTGAGGGTGAGTGTGAGCGGGGGCCTTAGGTGAGTATGACTATGACGGTGAGAGTGAGTGAGGGGGACCTAAAATGCTGACCTCTGTCCACAACACTGCTGCAACCTGCATTGCACACCATCAATATTGTAGTTCTCGCAATACAAGTGGAGGCTCGTTCAAAGCCCGCGTTTATCATGGCAAATTTCGGCCAAAAACTTTATGAATGTAAATTAATATTTACTACAGATGGTTGATATCTGCAAAGCAAGCACAACAGCCGTCGCATTTTTCCTGACTGATTGGAACTGCTCTTGCGACTAGGCATGGCGTACTTTTTGCGAAGCAGCAAAAAGAGCTTCGCGTCCCACGATGGCCATGCAGCTGATCACATGCCGCTCGAGCCGGTAGTTTCGGTTGCGCCGTGGACCCCCGAAACAAAACTTCGAGTTACACTATCAAGAAAAAAAGGTGTAAAAGGGTGTATCGTTACACCCCTTGTCCCATATAATACACCCCCAAACTTCAATTCGACGTACAGCGCCCCAAATTTTACGAGGGGCTTGATAGCCGTGTGGTACAACTTATTGAAATAGCTAATGTACGTTTTAGTGACAACAACAAAAAATAATCGGGGTTTTGGCACTACTGTAAAAACTCGGTGTTTCCTTTCTGTGGTCTTTGATACCTACTTTAGCTATTTAATAAGTTATATCGCATCGTTAACAAGCCCCTCGTAAAATTTTGGGCCGTCTGTTCGACTATAGGGCGCTGTACGTCGAATTGAAGTTTTGGGGTGTATTATATAGGACAAAGGGTGTAACGATACATCTTTTTACACCCTTTTTTCTTGGGAGTGTATGATATTGACATAACCAGACAATGCATCGAATAAAAAAACAATCGGTCACTTCGTAATTCATGGACACCCTTCACTAAAAACCGGCGTATAACTAAAATCGAGAAGAAAGTACCAGTGTTAGCTTTTAGTACCGTAAAAACGCCTTGCGACTTCATAATTTTTTTAGAACACCTAGAACACCTATTTCTATTGGAAACAGATGAGGAAGATATGAAAAAAATTTTGAAGTAGACTAATATCAATTGCTATTTAGATATTGAAAGGTACGTGATGGGCATTATTTTACAATTTTGAAATAGGAGGTTTTGTATTCTATGTGGACACATACTACAAGATGGGAAGTACCCTGTTTCTTCAGTCGTTACATTCTGTACGTTTTGTTTTCAGAAAGACGAATCCAGTGAAGATCTTCACGTATTAACGTAACAATGATTCAGATGTCTATTTTCGTGATTATGATGGCTCTTGCAACATCCTTTCATGGTAAACAAAAATTTAGAGTTCTCTACCGTCCGGTTTCTCTGCCGCCTGTGGCAGCATATATATATATATATATATATATATATATATACAGCGCGAGTGCCTCAATCTAGAGGCAACGTCAGTTGCCTCTAGATTGAGGCACTGTCGCTCTATATTCTGAATTGAGGTCTAATAAATAGCTGCCGGGAAGCTTAAAGTCTCTGTATTTCGAAAATGTGTTTCGTTTGGAAGCTGTAAAAGTAAACACCTCAGCTTTCCGTTAACCTGGCGCGAAGCATAATTCAAATGCCAGTGCGGCTAATCTTGTCCGGTCGTAGAAAGCTTAATATTGCCGTTTTTTTGTTTTTACTCAGACTTATCTCTCCGTTTATGATCAGCTTAATGTACCACAAGAAAAAAAAGTGATGCCCTCATGTATTTGAATATTCTTAAATGTATGCCATAGCTGATATTCTTAGCGCCTGGACTAGAACTGAGCAATTTACAGACATTCTACCTTTGAGCTCGGCAGTATTTTATAAGTTAATTTTTTTTTGTTTTAAAACCGAAAATAACAACCTCTGGACGTGATTTGTGAGGATTTAAATTTATCTAATCTTTTACATTCAATGAACACCGGGTATCTTTAGTAAGGCCATTTATAATTTGAAAGTACTGTAATTGCAGATTTTGTGTTGAAGAAACTGTCTCATTGGCTTTTTCGTGAATTACAGAGCTAATTTTCTTATTATATCGAATAAGATTTTCTAACTTTTCAGCCTTTAATACTAACATGATGACCCGACTTTTTAAACTCACAATATTGACTTCGAATATTAAATTTTCCGAGAAGGTAAAGAATATATCCTAATTATTTGCTTGATTGGATCACCTCTCTCATCCGTACTAGCATCGGGTGGTTTAGCCTTTCTTTCCTTTTATCTATATTTCTTCCTCTGTTTCTTTCGTTTATGTTTTGTCTTCAATTTTTCTTAAATACTGCCAATTACTTCCAGATTGTTACAGGAGTGGTATAAAAATTTATCACAGATTCAGCACTTGTCACGAAAACATGAAACAAAATTTAAAATTTTAGGCTTGTTGTTAATGATTGTTTGGATCGTCGTAAAAGACAAAAGGTAGCTGTAGGGTCAGGATTTAACTCAAACACCCTCTAAACAAAGTAAAAAAAACTCCCGGTTCCTTGCATTGCTCTGCAAATGGAGGGCAGCGACAGCCGAGGCGCTGGACATGGTTGCTCACAGCCATACTGTCGTTTTAAAAATAAATTTACTTACATCCCGCCAAATTCAGCGGATAGTGCTCATGGGAAATTGTGATGTTACATGACGCCAAGACGTCAAGTTAAATTAAACTTAAGGTAAATTCAGTGAAAGAACCTCCAAGCTAAACGTAGCAAAATGACCGGAAAACTAGTTTTTTCTTCTAGATATAGCAAAACATTTTCTCTCTAAATTAAAAAAAAAAAAAAAAAAAATGTGCCGCTAAATTTTAGGAAAAGTGTTGCGTCTTATGAAGTAAAGTCACGTATCACTGTGACTTCACAATTTAACGACATTGTCATTTCACGCTAGATATAGCGTAAAATCCTTCCGGCTCTATTTAGTGGACCATGAAGTAAGTACAGGAAACTAGACCTGAATGGTACTCAACAGAGGCGAGCAAATTACTTGTAATCGATTACTATATTTGGGGTAAATTTGTATTTATTTGTTTACATTTGTTACATAATAATAAAAAAAAGTATTCTGATTACTTTTGGAAATACTAAAAGTACTTGTAATCGTAACGTTTTCCCTACTGCCGTCTTCAATATCGCACTTTGTTCGTACAAGTTTCCTACCAAGCGATATTCGAACCAAGTCTTCGACAAGACGATGGTTTACAAGGTTTGGTGAATTAAGAATATTGCAACGCGAGTCGGCGAGCGAGCGCGTGCATGGCCGAATCGTTACCGCGCTCGACTGTCGCGCGGAAGGTGTAGGTTCGATTCCAGTCAGCGGATTGTCTTTTTATTTATTCTTCAACTTTGCCTTCTCGCAAGTTCGAGAACATTCTCGTCTGATCCAGTTCGAAATGTTCTACGCACCGAAAGTTCTACGCCGAATGTTCCGGAAATCCACGAAAGCACATAAAGGACTCCGCATGGCGAGGGGAGTCAGTTCGCCTCAGCGTTTGATCCTGCTGTTACGCCGCTATCGACGCCCGCGACGCTCTATTGTTAAAGCTTGCGCCATACGGATTCACTTTCGGAAGGGCCTTGAATCACAGAGAACTTTATGTCCGACCGTAAGAAAAGAGCAGCACCACCGCCTCTACCGCGACTTCTAACCCTGTGGTGTTACTTCGGTATCGTATATGCCGTCATGTAGCCATGTTTCCGTGACGCCAGTAACGTGAACGGAGTGGGAGGAAATTAATGTAAGAAAGTAGGGAAATTTGTTAATGAAGCTTCTAGCGTTGATATTCATAACACGAAGGTCTTGGCAACCACGCCGGAGGAAAGGACTGGTAGAAGAAGCTGCAACGGTAGCCTCAGGAGTGCGTTTAGTACGCTTCACTAATGCGTTGGTGGCGTCATCCCAATTATATCCAACGTTATCAATAAATATGTGGTCAAAACGAAAGCGGACACTAGAGCCATTCTTCCGAAAATAAGCGGATGCGTCGCGTATTTGTTTCGGAATTGAACGCCACGTGAGGGCAGAAATTTTCCGATGCACGAAGCTCCCAGCCTTTAAGCATAACACAGTTGTTTAGGGCACGAAGCCTTTCACGGTTTTAACAATTTCATAATGACGGGGCGCGACCGACTTGACTTCTGCCAAGTCTATGACATCTTTCAATTTGCGGAAAATCCATTGCCAGTTTATCCGACAAAAACTTTCAGACATTTGACATCCCCACTTCGAATACTTTCGCTAACTTGCTCTGGGAGTCCGCGCAAGATAAGATTGTGTCTGCGGGAGCGGTTTTCTAAGTCGTCATTTCTCGAAACGAGCCAATCTTCCACATCAGTGAGTCATTCCAACTCAGTGAGCAAATTAGCACCTGCTGCACCAGAGTCACCCAACGTACTAGGCAAAGACTCAAGAGCAGCCACACGTGACTCGAGAGCATCAAATTGGGAGTTCACTGATAGGTGAAATAACTTGATATCGGCAATACCTTGAGCCAGTTTTCTGTGACCTTCGAGCAATTGGGAAGACATGTTTGCAACAGTCAGCTGGTCGCCAACATCTGCATAGCCGCCATCATTACCATCTGCGGCCGTCGAGTGCTCGGTGGTCGAATTGCGTCTAAATGGGGTGTTGGGCCCGAGTCAGCTTGGCTAGTCTTGTTCGTTTTTGGTCCTGGGCTGGACTCGACATCCCCGCCCAAGATAAGGCTACTCAAGCAATGTACTAAATCAGAGCAAACGTCAACAAAATAAAAAAAGGTGACCGTAACCATGTGGGCCAGAAAACAGCTGCAAGAGACGGTTATCAGAAAGGACACAATAAGCGTTTTCAAGATAACATACCTGCGAGAAAACAGACAGGGATTGAGCATCGTTCCAGCGCTGCTGTCACCTTGCCCACTGAAGGCAAACCCAGCCGGATGACATTTTATATCGTTGTTGACTGACGTCACGGTGCTTGCTCTGTCGAAGATTGGTCGATCCTGGGTGATGTCACTAAAAAGAATAATTTGTGGAATGCCGGGAAGCATGAAGTCGGACAAGCCATTATGGCCATCATCCAGTTTGAAGATAGTGCAGTCCATGCGCATGCAAGCCGGGTCGATCACGTATTGACTGAAAGCCGACGGGGCAGGGATGACCGACGTGACATGGAAGCGACGGCCCGAAGCGTTGTCGAACACAGAACCGGCAAGGCATGCGAGGAACTGCGTGAAAAACAGACCGGGATTGAGCATCGTTCCAGCGCTGCTGTCACCTTGCCCACACGCCCGAAATGTTGAGGTTCGATTCCAGTCAGCAGACTGTCCTTTTATTTATTTTAGTCAGTGTGTAGCCCAAATCAAATGTATATACGAGTATAGCGAAATTTTGCTCGACTGGTTGCCCCTCCTCTCTACCTTAGTAAATATCAAAAAGTTCTAGATCATAATGTTCGCCATAGCTAACCTATGATGTGTCCTCTCATCCTGTATTCCCGTGTAATGAAAAAAAAAACAGCGAGCTTATGCGTGGCCGAGTGGTCACCGCGCTTGACCGTCGCCCGGGATGTGTAGGTTCCATTCCAGTCAGCAGACTGTCCTTTCATTTATTCTTTTAGCTTGTCGCTCTCGTAAGTTCGAGAACATTTTCGTCTGATCGAGTTCCGAATGTTTTACGGACCGAAAGCTCTACACCGAACGTTCCAGAAACCTATGAGGGTACGTAAGCGACTCCGCATGATGAGCGGAGTCAGTCTCGCCCAGCGCTCGATCCTGCTCTTACGCCGCTATGGAAGCCCGCGACGCTCTATATCTAATCGGTTTCTTTTTTAGTTTGGGCACAAGTTCGCTTCATTAAACTTTTAGTTTCTTTCATTTTTCGTCGCCTCATCATTTTTTATTTCTTGACAATATGAGTAGTTCATGATACGGTGATTCATATCCAATAATGGAGGGTACGAAAGACACGGCAATAAAATGAGCTGGCGGGCTATTTGGTTACCATCATGAATAGAATAGCGCAAAACAACAAGGAAGGAAGGACGAGGTAGACTGGAATATGCTAAGGCCTTCCTGTCTAACTCGTCCTTCCTTCTTGGTTTGCGCTATTTTATTCATGACACAAAAGACACGTTTTCAAACCGGGCGAAAACTGTCGCTTTGAAAAATATGAAGTAGTCAGAGAATTGACGGTTAACTTCTCAAGTAACAAACAATTACCTTAACTCTCAAGTGATCAGGTAATCTAATTGAATATGTTTAAGCAAGATTCATTGTATTTTTGATCGAGAACACTTTTGGAGGAAGGTATACACGACTACAGGAAACATACACGGGATCCACCACGAAACATTGAAAATAACAGCTGTCGCCATAAAAAGAACAAAACTTTTTCTAACATCCAGCTAAAAATTGACAGCAGACGTCTGGGTCCGACAGCTCTAGAATGCAACGAAGATCACAGAAGTATCTAGATCAATAAGAGAGTTTTGTAAAGCTGCAGTGGACGCATGAAGGTATTCGTACGTGGCCGCATCGTTGGTGTCCCGGCAGGCATACTTGTTCCGTGTGTTCACTTTTCTAATAATCTGGCCATGCGCTTTGACTGCGGTGTGTGGCCCATATTGTGGCACATCATGTATAACATCCGGCATATCGTATCCCGAAAGGACTGAAACCGACTTCTCCAAAATTAATCGTGAAATATGTAAAGATTATGAAGAAACTCTCCGCAATAACCACTTTCCTGACGACCGAGTATTGTTTAGCGAAAACTCAAGTAGATCTGATCAAAACAAATTAAACACGCATTTGCAAAAAAATAATTGAAAAATATTATTGATATTAATGGCAAATTATAGTTACTAATAAGTTTCATGACCAAGACGAAAAAGTTTACCCCTCTGTGTTTTGATTAAATAGGGAGGATCCGACTACAGAAGTGACAACATATAACTACTGACGAGAATCGTTTGCCAGAATCCATCGTAAAATCTTCATGTCAATCACAAAAAGAAAACAACAATCATGGAACGCTTTTCAAGGTTGCGGATAACCTTGAGATACGCATCACTCCAAGTGAAAAACGAAACAGTGTTTAAAAGTTTAACTCGACCAGTTGCGGAGCATGCCAGCATAGTATGGGAAACCTACACGCAACAAAATATCTCAAAAAGTGCAAAGAGTTACACGCAATGTATTGCGCGTATCTATAGCCTGTCCCCAACATAATTTAGTGCTTATCTTTTATTGCAAAAATAAACCCCACATCGCCGTACGCTCATTCTCCGCCCAAATGTAGGTCAAGGGGTTCGAAATAGATACCGGTGTTTCAGAAGTAACCATTATCATGCTCACAATATATAAATATAAGTAATTGTTTCAAAATACAAATGGGAAAGTGGCACCATTTTCGTCCGTATTCGGCGACTGGTGCAATTCAATTCCATGTAATCGAGAGCAATTTTTTCATTAGAAATTTCAGAAAATAGCTTTAAAACCTTTGAATAAGGTAGCCGTTCGTTTTGAAACTTTAGGAATATGATCCGAATAGCTGGCGCTACATCATGGACAAAAAAATAAGCGTTCGGCGATGCGTATTTTTTTTTTCTTTTTTTTTTTGCGCTGAAAAAAAAAAAGAAGTGAAAAAAAATAGTCACTTTGGGGCGACAGTCTGGAGAATGATTATAGATAAACTGCATCAGTGACTGAATTGTGTCATGGAGCCGGTTTTTACAATACATAAACGCAATTGGAAATAATTCGTATCAACATGGCAATTTCACTTATTGCAGATGCTGGAAAGTTAGAAAAAAATATTTAACGCTCGAACTCCGTTAAAGTTAGAAATAAGCACTACCAGAATATGGACTTTTACAGGTGCTCTTCGGACGTTTTACAATTTTTGTAAGATATATAGATAATTGTAATAGCTTGCCTGATAGTATTATCAATTGCTCGACAGCATATTTATTTGTGGAAAAAGCATGCGGGAATTCGATGTCTAATGACTGTCGGTGTGTTATGATTGTGTTATTTGTAATCTATTCCTACTGCTGCCTTGATCCGTCGGTAGCTCGCACTCCGAAATATATATATATATATATATAGGTTTTTTTTTAAGATGAACAGATTTTTTTTTTTTTTAAAGCCGTGAAAGTTACACTTATGCCGCTTGTGGAGGTGAGTTATACGGCCAGGGGGACATATTATAGGGGGCTAATCGTAACGATCACTCGTCTAATCAATGAAAATTTGTTAATTAACTTTTTAACTAATAAAAATAGACATATGGTTCTAGTTAGAAACTTGCTCAGCGTCATCGAAAACCACTAAATCAATCATTTTCAGAAAGACTTTCGGCGCGTGAGAAGCGCAGTACTGTACTAAAGTTACCGCTAGGGAGCAGGTACAAGGCTGGGGCTAGATAACAGACGGAAAAATCGCGCGGCCGCCCTTTCGCAACCGCTAGCTTTGTACCTGCTCCACGAGTAGTAACTTTAGTCCACTACTACGCTTCTCACGCGCTCAAAGTCTTTGTGAAAATTACTGATATAGTGGTTTGCGATGACGCTGAGCAAGTTTCCAATTGGAACCATATTTCTATTTTCATTAATTCAAAAGTTAATTAACGAATTTTAGTTAATTAGTCGACTGATTGTTGCGATTAGCCCCTTATCATATGTCCCCCTGACCGTATAACTCACCTCCATAAGCGGCATATGTGTAACTTTCACGGCTTTTTTAAACAAATCTGTTAAGCTTGAAAAAAAAGAAAAAGACACCCTGTATATATATATACAACTTCTCGAGGTTTTATGTTTGAATGTTCCTTCTAATAAACCATAAAATTGACGTGTTTTCAGGTGTGGAATCAACATGTGGGAACTGGTATCTGGATAAAGATTTGAGCCACATGCGAGAGGAATGTAAAACAAAGCTTCAAAGTCAATTTGTCTCAGAGTGCAAGAGGATTGGTGGCAAGGTAAAAAGCTCACATGGCTGGAATTGGCGTTGCTAGACACACTCAGTTGTCAAACTTCTACTACGACTTTACTCGCCCCCTCCCCTTTTCCTTGGACATTAATCACCAACTGATTGAAGTGGAACTTTTGAAGACCGCAGTGTGTTTCCTCAACCGCACTTTCACAGCTGGCCGAAAAGTCTAGGTCTTAACAAACGGAAATGAAAATATATATGACCAGAAAGCAGTAGAAATATAAGAGACCAAAATAAAAACACAAAGCTGTTTCTTTTAAGAATAGGTAGACATTTTAACGGGGCGGTGCAACGATTGTAGTATTTTAGGTGAATGCGACGTGCAATTTTCTTGGCCTTCGCAACTTAAAGAGAACCTCCACTCAATCCCCCCCCCCCTCCCCCCCCCCCCCCCAAAGAAAAAAGTCTTATTTAGGGTTTAACTTTCCAAAGTACTAATTTAGCGTCTTCAGATTTGCTAAATGTTAATAATTGTTTCTGTAATCTTAGTTTAAACAGGGTTGGGCAGTATCGCGATACAAATGTATCGCGATAGTATTTCAGAAATACATTTTGTATCTGTATTTCTGTATCACGATACATTTTTTGCACCAGTATCTGTATTCCGGTATCGAAATACATTTGGAATGTTTCTTTGTATCGCGATACAATCAGGATGAAATGTATTTCGTTACATTTCTTGAGAAATACCGCCCCCCCCCCCCCCCCCCCCGAAAAAAAAAAAAAGAAAACAAGTGTGAACGCATTTTTTATTTTTTTTACTTCTGAGGGCACCAAAGTCAAGGAAACGCTGGGGCATTTTTACTATGCTGATCAAGATTCCTTTTGATTCTGCAAACTATTTTTCTATGTGTCCTCTTCTCTCTTTTGAGAAGTGTTGCGTAGTCGGAAACTCGAACCAGGTGGCGTGCTAGAAGTGGAGTCAGAGCATCTTCTGCCGCAGGTCGTTAGGTAGGGATTTCTTGAGTCATTGTTTGCTGGCGTCCAATGCCCGCTGCTAACCGTCTCTCTTGCCTTAGCATACAGAGTACACCCAGCCGGCAAAGCTGAGTCGCATTCCGTTGCAGCACGAGCCTGGCGGTGGTTGACTTGAAATAGCAGGAAGACTCACGCTGTGAAGTTCAACACATATTCGAATGCATCTGGGGCAGCGCTCGTAACATTGCACGGCTCAAGGGTACGCCATCAGCCGACGTGAACGTGACCCGCTGCTCTGGTGATCCGAAACACAGGAGGCCAGAAGTGACCTCGCTGTGCCATCCCAGACTACGTTCCCGCGGCTCGTCTCCAGAACGCCGTTTCTCGGACAGCTCGCACCTGTGCCGGCAATATCAGCTTGCTATCCACGAAGTCTCTGCTTGGATAATGCTAGGAATAACTTGAGGACTGCAATCCGTGCGTCGGTGGCAGAGGGTCGGTAGTAAGGACCTTCAGAACAGGGGTGTGTACCGTATCGTTTTTTTCAACCATAACAGAAGATAAGACATGTATATTCCAAGATGCTTCAGGTGGTCCACTATTCTAAAAAAATCCAAATGACGCTGCATGCACGATCTTAAACTAGGTAACCTAAAACAAAAGTACGTATTGTCCTTTCATACAGCAGCGTGGTAGTTTCATGTTCATGGCCACACGTACAGATAAAGAATACTAGTTCATTCCTCAGTGACATCTTGTGATCAAGGTTGACAGGATTCCCTCGTCAGACAGACAGGATGTCATGGAAGGGACCGCGGTCAGCCCTTGATGGAACGTTTTTCCCTTGTCGTCCGAAACCACTACCTTCAAGGCAAAGTGCCAAGCCCACAGGAAAGTAATTTCGGGATCGAAAACATCCACTTCAAACTTCAAGATTTATCTCAGTTGGCGTCTCAAAAAATTTGGAAAATGTATTGCACTATCAGTATTTCTGTATTTGTATTTCTGCCCTCTCTAAAATGTATTCCTGTGTTTGTATTTCCAAATACTTTTGCCTCTTTTTAAAATGTATTTCCGATACGTATCGCGATACATTTTTGCAGATGTATCTTAGTATCACTATTTTAGCTACTATTTTAATGTATCCCAGTATTTGTATTTCCAAATACTTTTTTAAGTATTTCTGCCCAACCCTGAGTTTAAACATCAGCAGATACCGAAACCGAAACTTTGGTTGCGACAGGCAACATTGATCTGGTGTCGTCGGAGTCATGTCTACGTCACGTAAAACCACGTGGTCCGAAAGGCCACGTGATTCCCTACGCGACGGCGGGCGAACATAGAGCAAAGCGCAAGTATAGTCTGCTCTGCAGAGTTCGCCAATGTAGTTTGCTACAACATCCAACGACGTCTGCACCACTGTGGCCCCGGCTCGCGCTTCGGGTTGGAATCTCGACGAAGGTGCCCGCAATTTGGCGCGGGCTTATTTCTGCGAAAGCGCCGTGTAACCGAGATCTCGGTTACACGTCACAAGATCCTCAGGCGGTCTATAATAATCATCAGGCCTCCGCTTAGGCGCGCCAGATGCCCTTCGTAGTTCTGGCACATAAAGCTCCAAGTTATCATTTATTTTACCGTAAATAGCTGAGTTTTCGCGCTTTGTTTTTACAGGCGCGAGACGTATATACTCGTACAATGGGAAGCGCCCGGCGCATAGTACGACCGACGCGGTGGTCATTTGAGCGAGCATATGTTTCCTGCTTTAGTACCTTACTGAAAAGGGATGGAAGTGTGACGTGAAGCATGTTGACATCTGGGGAGTAGGACCTGGAGTGGGTGACGTGAGTCGGGACGTGTGACGCGGTACGTGTGACGCTGCGTGGTGATCCGAGACGAGGCATCCATACAAGGGGAAGGCTCTCATAAAGGTGGTGCCTCTCGTATCTTCCCAAGTAGGGAGGCGCCCCCGCAGGATGGCGGGCTTGGTCTCCCCGCAGGATTGCGGGGGTGGTCTCCAGGGGAGCCGAGGGATATAAAAGTGATCACTGCGACGGGGCTGTGTGGTTCATGGTTGCCATTCAGTGACCGTCGGACCCGCTGTAAGACGCACTCGTGTCTTAGTAGCGGAGCTGAACAGTGAGTCGACCACGTGGGTACTTTCAGTACCGGTTGGTTTTCCCAGGCCGTTCCACTGGCTGTTACAATAGTTGGTTTCATTTATCCCCACTTAACTCCAATTTGCTTTTCCTGAAAATTCTTACTTGATCATACGATCCAATTCATTTTTATTTGAATTGGGTTTAAATCGGGTGTGCCCTCGAGGCTGTACCGATTGAGGCATTTTTATTTTTCAATCTTTTTAGCAAAGCCTCGCCTTAGAAAATGCTTTAGTAGACTGAATTGTGTACCTTTACGAAGCTGTACGGCAGACTACACGTTTGTAGTCAATAAAAAATATAGTGTCAGCGGAAATTATGAATGCCGTAGTAAGTATGTTCCAGTGCATATTCATTTTGTTTCACAGCGCAAGTGATATTTTAACGCACGTTTTTATATTTAGCTGGTAACAGCAAATTAGTGTCATGAGCGCAAGCAATTGAAACAGATCATTGTTTTGCGATTTGGCGACAACGGCTTCCCGGAGTTCCACCGGCACGGGATATCCGTAGAAACTTTCAGATGCGCACTGTCGTGAGGAAACTTGTGAAAGAGTACTCCCGGCCTGGTCAACTGGTAGTCCGAGCAGGCACCAACACAGCATCGTGAGGCTATGGAACTTTCGCCATGAATCGCAGCTAGGCATCGGAGATGCGGCCCGAGTTCGTATCGTAAACAAAACGTCGCTCTGAAACTACGACAGCGACGAGACGAAACAGATTGCTCCCAGCTCCCAGCTCTCAGCTCCAAGAAGCGCGAGGGGCAGCGCAAACTTGCGCATCCGTGTCACGGTGATCACGTGAACACCATTGAGCCAACACCGGGAGGAGAAACTCATGACGTAACCATTCAGTTTCGCTCTGGGAAGTAAAAACAAAAACAAAAACAAAAAAAAACTGAGAATGATGTAGACATGACTCTGACGTTGTGGCTCAATGTTGGCTGCTCCAACTCCCTGATGTTGACTGCACTGTTGATTGCCCCTCATGTCACAAGCCACACTGCTTTGACCTCTAGATGCTATGAAGAAGATTTTTTTTGTATACATACCTTTATGATATAATTGACTCTTCTGATCTGTCGCTATCTATCTACATCTACGTTCCGAAACGAGCTTCGCGAACTTCTCCGAAGTTTGATGTGCATTAAGTTATCCAAACTAGCCCCATGGCTTTCATCAGCGTTTTTGGAAGAAGCTTACTGTAGCAAAGTTTGATATTTTAACCCATGTTTTGTCGCGTTTAAGTCGTTATTTATCACTACTTAATCTACCTGATGTGTATTATTACTAAGGCCTCAGTTGTTCATGGGGACATAACGTGAACGAATGAATGAATGAAGGAATTGCAGTTCAAATCTGCCACCCGAATGCTTGTGAAGGCGTTGTCACAAGACGAAATTGGGTGCCCACGTCGTGCTCTTGTCCACTGTACACGTCGCTTTCGACTATCGCCACAATTGGCTTGATTCCCGCGACAACGTCAACAGTTCAATCCATAAGACAAGATTGTAAAGGAAAGACTGAAAAAAAGGGTCAGATTTGTTTTTTTCGGAATCTCTATCACCACAACAAAGATTAACGGTCAGTGACATTGCTTGCCAGTATAATTGTGTAACAGTAGTTCCAGTGAAATATTGTAGAGTAAAATTCAATGTAGCCCAACATCGTTCCACGGCCCCTTTATTCTGGTGAGGAGCGCTTGAGGGGGAGGGGGGGGGGGGCGCACATCCTCTGCGTAAGTTTTACCTAGAGAAGTGACGTTTCAATGTTATGTATGTATATATACGTAAATTGAATTGTGCGTCCATCTTCAAGTCCCTGGTCTTCCGCCTTTCATATGGTGCCCAAGAAGACAGGCGACTGCCGCCCGTGTGGAGACTACCGCGCTCTTAACGCGGCAACGGTGCCAG